CTGAATTACTCAGAGGGGGTTTCACGTTGTCCTGGCGAAGGCCTGAGGACCAGCGACAACATGGGACCTGCCGTCCCGCTGCCTCCACCAAGGAGGCGGCTGGCGCGTGGTAGGTGGATGGTGACAATCTGAGTCGTGCTCAGTTTGGTGTGAAGGACTTAAGCAAAGTCTTCCTAGTGGATCCGCATAGTAAAGTGTTGACTGAGCAGGCACATTCTCAAGCTGGATGCAGCTTTGTTACTGAAACTGACTTGAAACTCTGCCTCTCCATGAATGCATCATGGACCTACCTCTTGCCTTGTTACAATCCTCCCCTCCGGATGGTGGCAACAGCAACTCCCAACCAAGTCCCCTGCGTCCTTGACGGACAAGCAGCACCGCGTTGGCACTGAGAAGTCCCGGGATGCAACAAGCTTTCCTGTAATTACTGCGAGTTGTGATTGCTTATTTGTTCGCTTGTTTTCCTTGGCCACGTGTGTCTCGCTACCTCTGCTGTTCTGTGTAACGCAGAGTGTCGGGGCTTGCCAAGAGCAAAGGGTTCGAGAAGTGCACTAAGGGTGAGCAGAAGCATGGTTTGATCACAAGCATCCATTGCACTTTTTCATTTTCGCAGAAAACGAAGTCGCTTCTACAAGGTTTTATGTACATTTCCGGAAGAATGGAAGCCAGAATTTACTCCCCATGCAGGTAGGGTTTATAACCAATGCCTGAGACTACGCACCACGTGGACACGTCAGTACCAGGACTAAAACTGGTGTGAAAATGAGGGAGAGTTCTCATACACGAACATTTCATCTATGCATTCTATGGGAGATATTTCTGAGTTTCCTGATACACCTGGGTGATTCATTACCTTACCCAGAATACTCTGCGTTTGTGTATCCTAACGTTAGACATAGTAAAATAAATAACTAAAAAAACTGTTGTCAAATAATTCTCATCTAACAAGGTTACCCATTTGCCAAAGCCCTGCAGAAAATTCAAAGGCAAGAAAAAACTGTTGGACATTTTGGTAGTGCCTCCCATAACCTTTCCTAACAAAGAAAAACATCCTCGCAGTGTTCCATGCCGCATATTAACTCCATTGATCTCCCGGAGGATTACTCAGCGTGAACCAGCTATTCCCCCTACAGAGAGAGAGGCTGCTTTAGGAAAGCTGGGATCAAGGAAGGTTCTAGCCACCTCCTCCACTGATCATTGGCTCCTATAAAAATGTCCCATGAGCTAACAGGTGGGGTGGGGGTGGGGGAGAGAGTTTACACTCTCACGACCTGCTCATCCACCATTCTTCCCAAGCTTTGCTGACTCGACCCTGAGTTAACGAGCCTGTTACACGATATCTAATAAAAGTGACGGGAACAGAGATACCGTTCGGACTCTGCCACAGACTTGGTTCAACGCTGAATTGATTCCATCTACACTTAACACGAGCTTGTTCTCTGTCTCACTCATCTCTCCCGCAGCCCACAGCCCACTTTCTTTTTTCCATCTGGGAAACTTATCTCCTAAAACGCTACCATCAATCAGCCCGAGACACCGTTCCCGACAGAGCGTCTGCTGGTTTGACTGAGCGCAAGTAGTCACTAGTTTGGGGATGCCTCCCACACTCTCCTGGAGCCGTGTGTTTTCCTGGCCTGCCTAACCACACAAGTGCAATTTGCGATATTTATACTTACCTCCAGCTTCTATTGAGATAATAGCAGTACTTTTGCAGAATTGGGCAGGGGGCATCGTTTGGGTCTCTGTGCTCTGGAAGGAAGTTGCACACGTTGCCTGTCTACCTATTTTTAATGTTATCTGTTGGAATGTTTTGCGTTTCCACTCATTTTGGTCTGCTTTGGTCCCACGCTTGCTCAGAAGGGATGAAAAGCGAGTGTTTACAGGGATGCATCCTGTGTGTCCCCAAAGCCTTCCCTGGTAGCTGGTTCCAGATGTTTATGTCAATACCATTTCCAATACATTCAAACCTCTCAGCTTAACTCGTACGGTGGGCAAGGACAGAGACAGACAAGACAGCGGGAGAGGACTGGCGGCAGAGACCCAGCGCTGGGAGGAGGGGAGGAATGAGGAGGCATGGAGCCAGGCGGCCCCCTCTCCCACAAAGCCCCAGTCGTGAATGCTCCTGCTGGCTACAGCACAAGAGAACTGTGCGTGGGCACAGGTGGGTCCCAGCCTTTGGGGCTGGATGCCGCTTAAGCACAGCCTGAATGAAGACTTTCACTGCTGTTTGCTGTTTTCCTTGGCCAGTAGCCACGGCAAACATTTGCAGGTGGCTTGGCCAGATTTTGACACTTAAATATTTGAGGTTGTGATAAAAATCAGAATATTACTACAATATGGTTCTGTGCAGCCTCAAAAAAAAAAAAAGAAAGAAAAAGCTATCTGCAATTTCAAATGCTCATTTAAAGACGCAGTCTCCAGAGGAAACTCATGTTTTAGAATAAGTACTCATTTCCTCTTGGCTGAGAGAAATAAAAGAGTCAACCATCCCCAAATGTTACCACCTAGAGTTTTACACTGAATCCGCTGGAGAGATGGGTTGGGTTGTTTCTTGCTGAGCCCCCATGATCATCCAGGCCAGCTTTTGGATGGGTCCCACGGAGAAGAAGAGAAACGACAGGATGTGTGGGTGTGAATCAAGTACCGCTGGGAAGAATCCGAAGAAAAGAAATAGCCACCCTCACACTTGGCCACGAGACAGAGTCCTGAAAGTGACAATTATCTCCTCAAACACTCCAGGAAAGACACGCACAACAGCCCAGGACGGGGGAATTGATGCTAAGATGGGGTGGATCGGGGGCCCCACACACCAGACAAATCTCCCCATCCGCCCTGGGCGCAGTGACACAGCCTACACACGTCACGCCTATGCACATAGTCCTGGCGAGCTGGGTCGATTATTCAGAGTCAACACGCATCTTACCCGTCAGTGCTAACCCTTAAAAACTGCTGTGTGAAAATCAGCGCTGCGCTAACAATGACCGGCTACTCAGGGCCGCCGAGAGGGTGTCGGTGCAAGTGGGGGAGCGGCAGGAAACCTCCAGGGGGAAGGAATGCTGTTAAGCCGCTAGTAAACTCTGGCACGTTTTATGGTTTTTCTTTCCCCTCCCTTGAAAGAAAAATAAAATAATTATAATTAGCTGGTCTAACTGTGAATTGTCTGCTGAAAGCCAAGCCACAGAGTAAAGGAGTCCCCTAGGATGTAGAATCCGGCCCACGCTCTTACGGCACGATGGGTTCTCGCTTTCGATGGCGGCAACAATTGCTCTCCTGGCCATCTGAGAAGAACAGAAATCTTTCCCAGAGACATTTGCTGCTTTAGCGTTAACTTCTTTAAGCAAAGCCAGACATCCAAATGGCCAGATTCACTTTTTGTTTCTTGAACGGGAAACCAAATTCACCCATGACAAACTCACAGGGTAGTCGTCATCTATGATTCTTGTTTCCTAAGGTGCCACAAGCATCCCGTTAAGTTGAGAAATCAGAGAGACAAGGCACCCCTTCTTTTTTTTTATTTTTATTTTTATTTTTATTTTTATTTTTGACAGGCAGAGTGGACAGTGCGAGAGAGAGACAGAGAGAAAGGTCTTCCTATGCTGTTGGTTCACCCCCCAATGGCCGCTATGGCTGGCACACCGTGCTGATCCAATGGCAGGAGCCAAGTACTTATCCTGGTCTCCCATGGGGTGCAGGGCCCAAGCACTTGGGCCATCCTCCACTGCACTCCCTGGCCACAGCAGAGAGCTGGCCTGGAAGAGGGGCAACCGGGACAGAATCCGGCGCCCCGACCGGGACTAGAACCCGGTGTGCCGGCACCACAGGCCACAAGGCACCCCTTCTACAGCACTCTAGGGAGGCCTAACCCAACACTGTCCCCAGTGCTCACTGTTGATTTGGGATTCTTACAGCATGGAAAAGACCCACTGACAAACTGTGGGGCAGCTGCTTCTTTTTTTTAATCACCCTATCTGATCTTTGTGATCATGGTATCTCCCCTACCAGGTGAGTGTTACATATCCAATATTCAGCTAAAAACTCAAACTGAATCCTGAAGCATGTCCCAACCCTCGCAGGTTCCTCTGCTTCTTTTAAACAGAGAACTCAGGGAACATAGAAAAACCAACGCTCCCTATCCAGAACAATATATTTATCATAGCTCCTTGGCTGAAGTGATTGGCTATTTTTCCTAAGAACTCAAGTTACTCTTAGATCTTTTATTTCTTATTCACTTTGTGAAGTAGGAAATAGCACACACCATCCTCAACCTGGAGACAAGGAAGCTGCCGGCCCTGCTCATGAGCTGGTCCTCAGACCACACTCTGCGTAGCAAGGGGCTAGAGCTAGCACACGACGCTAAAAAGGGAGGGCCCTGTGACATGATGTAGGGGATCCACAGACAGCGGCAGCATCCTAATATCAGTTTTCCTTCAATGCCCCTGTTTTGTCTTTTCACACACATGAGAAAGCACATGGCCTGCATTCTGTGTTCTGTCTACCTAGGAATAAGCCTAGGCTGATGGAGAGGGCACGGAGAGCCAACGAAGAGGCATCAACAAGGGCTCAAGGGCAGGAAGAATGATCACAGAAGAGAGAACACCACAGGAATGCACAGAGAGATGCACAGAGACACAGGCGATGGCCCCAGTGACTTCCCAGGAAGGGAGCAAGCAACATACTCTGTGGGGAAGGAGGTGGAGTCTCCTGCCGCCATCATCGAGCCTTTGTCCTGAATATTATGCTCTTGGGTCTTCCCATCATCACCTCTACAAGTCTTGTTTGTGGAAAGGATGACACAGAATAACTTCCCTCACCCACCCCCACCCAAGTTCATGATCAAAACCAAGAGTTTCTCCCATCAAAAGCATCCCTCCGAACCCTAGGCAATACCACACCAGCCCAGAAAAGAAACAACCAATCTGAGCATCAGAAACAAGAAGAAAGTTCAGAATATTCGCTGCACTCCAGCCAGGACCCAGAGTCAGCCGAAGAGGTCTCCTTACCCGATCTGGCGGTTGGTGGATGGCGCCTGTGTGATGACCGAGCTGGACTGCGGTGACGGCATGGCTTGCTGGATCACAACGCTGGTGTCGTGACTGGCCATGCGGCTGCTGCCAAGCTGGTGGGTTCCGGGCCCTGTCATGGCGCCACCAACTGTATTATGCATGGAGATGTTCTGCCCAGAGAAGACAGAGGAGAAGGGTCAGAAGGAGTCAATGTTTAATTCCACTCTCAAGCTTGCAACATTGGCAATCTGGTCATGTCAACTACATAGGAAGTTATGGCTTCTGGCAAGCCCTGGGTCCATTCATCTTGTTATAACACACAGCTGCAAGGAGATGAAAAATAATGACTCACCCTTAGCGTAAAGCTCATAGGAAAAAGCTTGAAGTTGACTTCTCACTGTGCCGCCATCCCGATGCGAGGCTGACACCACGATTACTCAGTGCATACCTTCTCTGACTTGCTATGCTGCGTACTGCACTTGAAAACGATTTCTGCCGAAGTGCATACTACTATGATTGGTGAGCTCAGTTCTGCATTTTGATTTGAATGACAAGCACACTGGCTTTTTTTTCCCCCCACTTTCAGGTTGGCCTGTAAGAGTGGCCAACCCTACCTACCCCCACCCCTCCAGGAAACCATCAATTTTCCAAATCATGATCTGAGCGTTCATGACACAAACTCAACAACTTCTGGAATGAGGTGAACAATTGGAAGAGATGACAGGGTAGCTGGGATCCAACGAGGGCGTGAGCATTGCAACTCTCTGCTGTGTTTCCATAAAGTCATCTCCTAACAGTTGTTTGGAATAATGGAAGATAGAGCAATGATGAAGGGCCTGCTTGCTCATTCACTACCTTTTCCTCTGGAACATAGAGTGCTTGGGCTCACAACTCTCCCCATGGACGCTGGAGCTAGGGGGCACTCAATAAACACACACTGCCTAGGTCAATTAGGGAAGGGACAAAAGCCACACATGAGTCACTAAGGGGACTGAAAGTCCTATGTTGTTTTTTAATGACTTGAATGGAACCTTCTTAGCTTAAAAATTCAAAAGTAAAGTAAAATATGTGGGCTCAGACTGATGAAAAAGAGAGGCATTGGTTCAGCAAGAGGAATTCACTCTAAGGTTGAAGAAGGCTGATGTCCCACATTGGAGTGGAAATGTGAGAAGGAAATGCAGAACTCAGGGAAGAGGACAGGCAGGGCCAGGTGACAGCAACAAGGAGACTCCTGCAAACAGCCAGCTACAGCCCTTCAGCCTAGGAGAGTGAGGAACTTGGAGAGGTCAGTCAGACAATGGGTTGAGGATGGAAGGAAAGAAATGGAGTGTCACTAGCAATTGACCAGAGGAAAAATATGGATCTGTCTACGCTTTGCTGTTAGCAAAGGGAAAAATGTGACCCAGGAGACCTAGAGGTGGTTCTTTGAAGTTCTTCTGCGAAGGGCAGGATGTCCTGCCCGACTTGCTGCTGGAGGGTGCTAACGTGTGTGGCGTTTCAGGCGGTTGTGTCCATCACGTTGCGCCTTTCCCCAGTGTCCGATTTCTAAATCCTGACCACACAGTGTGTCAGGAGTCCAGATGGAAACTGGGCACCTGGCTTAGACTGTGAGCCAGGATCCCAAAGGTACGAACAGGCTCATGCACACTCGTGGTCCAAGGGTTCCCCTCATAGCCGGGAAAGCGTCTGAGGTGGGACAACGCGGTGGCTGAGTAAAGTAGGAGGGAAGTGCCATTTGCACTGCAGTGGTTCTGAAGGGGGCACACTTCAGTTTTTGGTGGATTTTTTAAAGATCTAGTGATGTGGATAGACTAAATAATGAAAATACTAATTGTGTTATTTCTCTTGAAAGCAAACTAACAAACCAATTTCACTGGGTCCTAATGAGGTCTTGATGAGGTTAAAAAAATAAAATCACAGGTATTAATTTTTCATTGGTTGGATCCTCAGACAAACTTGAACTCTGTCATTTTGCTCAAAGTCACCTACTTTGTCAATCATCAATTTGAGGCATGGAGAGATTTCTCTCTTTTTAGAATTATTTTCTTTGTGCTGTGCTAACAGAGGTTATCAACAAAGCGGTACAGCTTAACCCTAACATTGCAATCTTTAAATTCACAATGAATATAAAAGGCACGAACCCCCGCCCCTTGAGTCTCATGCCCTATGCAGCCCCCAAGTCCTACAAATTTAACCTAAGCATCCCTTTCTACCTTTCCCTCCCTCCTTTCACCAACCTATGCCCCCACCCTGTCACCATCGCCTCCTCTCTTATACTAGGCAGGGGTCGCTGCAGTGCGCTTCTGTACCCCTGGCTGTCTTTTCTCCTCCTCCTATCTCTGCTGGAGTCGCCTTTCCAAAATGCATAACTGAGCTCACCACCCAAGATTCTGAACGCCATGTCGTGCACCCTCCAGGGCCTGTGTGGGACCCTTCGCAGCCCTCAGCTGCCCTCACACCACCTTCCCTCGGGCTTTGGGATGCATCCCACTTGGCGGGACTTTCGCTCCCTCATCCTGACCTTGCTCCATTTTACCACCAGCCCTTGGAAGATGCTGCTCCTGACGGACACCTGTACTGCTGCCCTGTCTGTATCTTCAATTCTCAGAGCACCCCAGGGGGAAGCCTTCCCTGGCATCCCTGTGGGGACACTGTCTCCTTTTCCTTTGGGTACTGTTCATTGGTTTACAGTGGTGTTTGTGTGATTAGCTGTGGCTTCTCCCCTAGACCTGTAAGCACAATGTGAGAGGAAAGAAGTCTGATAGTGCTGTCTGATGTGCCTCCACAGCCAGGGTCAGTGAGTGGCACACCATCGGGCTCAATGAATAGTGAACAAATCGCTCAACTCTCAGGGAACATTTCTAGAATACACAGTTATGACGAATCTTACTTTTTGTGATTCCCTGGATCAATTTTTTTTTTAAAAAAAGATGTATTTATTTTATTTGAAAGGCAGAGTTACAGAGAAGGAAAAATCTTCCATTCACTGGTTCATCCCCAAATGGCTGCAATGGCCTGGAATTCCATCTGCGTCTCCCATGTAAATGCAGGTGCCCAAGAATTTGGGTCACCTTCTACTGCTTTTCAAGGTGCACTAGCAGGGAGCTGGATCAGAAACAGAGCAGCCGGTGAGCCGGCGCCGTGGCTCAATAGGCTAATCCTCCACCTTGCGGCGCCGGCACACCGGGTTCTAGTCCCGGTTGGGGCGCCGGATTCTGTCCCGGTTGCCCCTCTTCCAGGCCAGCTCTCTGCTATGGCCAGGGAGTGCAGTGGAGGATGGCCCAGGTGCTTGGGCCCTGCACCCCATGGGAGACCAGGAAAAAGCACCTGGCTCCTGGCTCCTGCCAGGATCAGCGCGGTGCGCCGGCTGCAGCGGCGGCCATTGGAGGGTGAACCAACGGCAAAGGAAGACCTTTCTCTCTCTGTCTCTCTCTCTCACTGTCCACTCTGCCTGTCAAAAAAAAAAAAAAAAAAGAAACAGAGCAGCCGGGACGTGAACATGTACCCACGTGGGATGCTGGGATTGCAGGTGGCGGCTTAACCCAATATACTACAAGCCTGACCCCATCCCTGCTCAATTTTTAAAAGTGCCAACACCCTGTCTGTTCGTCATGTAACTTGAAAGTATGCTCACTTGTTAGGGTACTCTTGTTCAATTACGGACTGCAGAAATACAAAGGATTATGATTAAGAAGAAAGCTGCAAACACAGTATGTATATTGCAAAGTGAAGCCTTGGGAAAAATATTCAGCGAGTGCTTGAGGGAAGGTAATGAGAGCTGAGTGTCTAATCTTTGAGTCCATGGGCACGAATGATGATAGCAACTTTTCCCTGTCTCCACCACAAAAACCAAGAAAAGAGACTGACACTGCAGAAAAAAAAGTTATTTTAGTTCTTTGGAGTGAAGGATGTTAAAAAAAAAAAAAAACAGGAATTACCACTCCCTAAAAAGTTTAAGAATCTTTTATGAGAATCATTGAAAAGAACAAAAATTATGAACACTCTATCTCACACCCCCCCACACAACCTTTTAGAGGCCTGTCTCCACGATTCCAGCAGAGAAGACTAAAGCTCCTAAAGTCATATTCTAATTCTCCAATAACATTCTCCCTCCCGGAAGCAGAAAATCTCCAAATTTTCCAGTTCCCTTCTCCCAGGCCCAGTGTATAATTTCAAAACATTTTGAAAAAATAAACAATCAGGCAAAACCATTACCATCTCACGTTAAGTTTTTTTTTTTTTAATTTAAGCATTACATAGTAACTCAAACATAAAGTAATTTTTCTAAGTTCACATTGTCCCAATTATGGATTCAAAATCTGTCTTCATTGATAAAAGAATCTCATTTTGCCTCTGGGTAAACTGAGTAGCCAATTTCAAAAAGTCGAAGGGTGACCACATCTTGCCAAGTTCTTTTTGATGGTACAGGTGTGAAAGGCTGAAGCTGGTGGAACAATATCACCAAACCAGCGGACGGATGTCGGTTGGCACGGCAACATCAGGGTGTTCCTCGAAGCTCAGCCTTTGGCCTTTCCTTGTTCAACATTTTTATCAACAGCTTGGATGGAGATGTAAAAATGGTGCTTGTCAGACCTGCAGTTGACACAAAGTTGGGAGGCAGAGCTAATGTTCTGGATAGCAGAATCAGCTTTGACTTGAGCCAACTGTGTGATCTCTGCCTCCAAAAATGCTAACATAAATCTAGGTTGTTTGAGGAGAAGTGAAAGGCCCAGATCAAGGGAAGTAATTATCCCACTGTAGAGTATGCTGGACTGACCACATTTGGCCACCACATTTTAAGGGGGAAATTGACAAATGGGAGGGAATGAAAGCAACGAAGGCATCCGAAATCCATTGCAGGAGGAACAGTAGAAGAATCAGGGAATATTTAGTCTAGAGAAGAGAAGACTTCAAGGGTCATGCTACCTGCCTGCAAATATTTGTGGGGTTAGACACAGTCTACGTTACTCCAGAGGGCATAATTTCAAAATATGGAATCATGATGATAAAACTCAATAATAACTATACTTCAAGTAGTTATTTTGATGCTGAAACTGTGGTAGATGCTTTATAAACTACATCTCTAATATTCTCAATGACCCCCAAGAGGTAGGCATTATTAAGCTCATTTTAAGACAAGAAAAAGGGCCAGCACCACGGCTCACTAGGC